GTGGACACTAACCTGAACCTTCTCACATGAGTTGGCCTCACATGGTGTCATGTTTTACCGCTGTGCTACTGCCCAGCCCCCTAGACCTTTTACTTATGCTTATGTCACTACTCAGATTTCAATTTTAGACAACTTACCCTCTGACCACCATTGATCCCCTCTACCCATTGCATTCCTTCTAAAACTTAATTCTGACGATTCTGGGGCAATCATCTGGACCTCTGTTCGGTTAAAACCTCTTTGTTTTCCTCGCCCTCATATCTTTACTTTTCATAACCTAGCTAGATTCCATGGTCTGTTATTATAACCTCCCCGTTCCAGCTCCTGTCCTATTCTACCTGATTTCAGTACTCTACCTACTTTGTACCTGAATTGTCAGATGAGGCTGGAGATAAGCACACTCTTCTGATTAGTTTCACTTTAAATATTCATCATCACATCTCCTGAGTGCTACCTGCAGTCTTAGTCTATTCACTCTCACTCTCTCCTCCTTCACACTTTGACAAACCCTCCCCTTTGAGTTGATGATGCTTATTATTATTTATAAAAAACAATAATAGGGATTTGAAACCTATTGGTGAATCTACAAGACTAGAAGAGCAATTTTAGTAGAATGTTGGGAACAGAAGTCAATTTTTCAGAGATTAAAATGTGACTAGGTCACAGGAGATAGACACCAACATCCTAGGTTTGTCGCTAGAATATTGGCTCTTAATGTTAAGTGAATCTTGCCCAGTTACAGATATAGTGGCTAAAATTTGGAAATCCTGAAAATTATATATAGTTTGAATCTCTCTAATGTTCTAACATGGAGAAAAGATGATATGATGAAAATTACAAGCAGAAAGGAAGTTTGAATTTGCTGGGCTAGATTCTACTAAAATTTAGCCTATCAGAATCACCTGGAGGGCTTGATAAGATACAGATTGCTGACAGCCACCGAGGGGTGCTTATTTGTTAGGTCTTGGTGGCTCTTGAAAGTTAACATGTCCAATAAGTTCTGTTAGTGTAGGGA